GCGTGAGGCGGCGTGTTCAGCAGGCTCCCACGCGGCCCAGCTGCACTGGGGTGTGCTTGCAGCTCCCACCCTGGTGCATGACTTGGCTTCAAAATAACTCTCAGCCTCACACCCTGCCAGCTGCCTGGGCGCTGAAGACTCAGCGGCCTCCTCCAGGCATGCTTGCTGCTGACCCTGCCCGGGGAACAGAGCTGCGACTTCACCATGGAGCATCCATCACCCTCCCATCCTCTTCCTCCTCTGCTAACCAAGGTCTCTCCCCACACTCCCAGCACGTTCCTCTATGACATGACATCATGTCCCTCTCACCATCCAAGTACCTGTAAGAATAACCTAGCAGAACCATATTTTAGCACCAGGCGCTCTAGCGCCAGCTTCACCCCAAGACAAGCTGGAGGTTGGCACTGCTGGAAATAAATCCCCCTTACAAGGAGGCTGGAGCAGTGGCTGTCCCCGACTGCAAAGCACTGGTGCATTAAGCCTGAAAAGTTGGGTGGGCTACCCTTGCCAGATAACCCCAGGCCACCTGGTCCCATCTGTGCTCAATGACACCAGAAATGAAGTGGTGAGGAGGCCTTGGGGGCATGTGTGAAACCTGGGTCTTGAGCACAGCAGTGTCAGGAGCTCTACTCAAGGTGCTGCCTTGGGCTGACACGTAGGGTGAAGCAGGGTGTCAGGGTGGACTAGGGTGACCATCATAGAGGACAGTCCTGTTGTCCTCTGTCCCCTCTTGATATGAAACCTGATGCCTTTATGTCCTCTATTTTTCTCTTGAAAAATAAAGGACATAAATGCATTGGGTTTCATACCAATAGAGGACAGAGTAGCAGAAAACAGGACTGTCCTCTATGATGGCCACCCTAGGGTGGAGGGCAAGGGCCCAAGCCATGTAAGAGCCCAAAGCAATCAGTACCCGCAAGAGCCCTCCTTCTCTTCAGGACTGCCAGCTCCAACTGTTCAATGCACCCTTCTCCTTCTCCTGCCACCTCCAACGTCATGAATTGGCTTTAAAAACTGAAATGAGAAAGAAATATAAGCAAGGTGGTATTTGCCTTCAGATCTCTGAGCCTTTAGAGATCACAGTTTCAAGCTGCCCTCTAAAGCCAGATGGCCCAACAGCCTGCTCCTCTATACAAGACTGTCATGTAATCACTTGCTTCCCGGAGCTAAAGCTTTACAGGAAACACCAAACTGTGCAAGAGGTGGCAGCACTGAAATTGGGTTAAAAAAATATGAACCCTCGACTCTCTGGAAAGACTTGGGATACAACTGGGAGAATTAGCAATGCCAGGTCTCTGCCCAGCTGACAGCCCTGTCACCAACTCAGAGAGCCAGGCTTAGCCAAGACATTGGAGTTACCCAATTCTACCATTTTACTGGGAGGAAAAGCATTTTTTCAGTCCTTTTTTGATTTACAGGGACTTAACCCCAGGTCTCTATCCCTGCCCTATGCAGAACAGAGGCTACATTTCAGGCTTAGCCCTAGGAGCAACCAGGCAGCACCACAGTTCCTCATGATCTGCATTTCCATCATCAAGCCCAAAGCTTGAGTTTCTATTGCACGTGCCTCAGCAGTTGCTGTAGGGAAGCTCAGCCTGGACTGAGTTCACATACAACCCAAGTCACTTGGGCCCAAGTTTATTTTTATCTAACATTTAAATACGTCTGATCTTTCTGATTAAATAAAGCATTCAAACTCTCCCTGGGTTCGTCCAGCAACTTTAAAGCTGCTTCGTTTTCGGTTGCATCTGCACCATCGCCACCTGCCGGCTAGAAGCTCATAGAGCTGGCGGCTCTGAGTGACCTAAAAAAACCCACAGGCTCCTTCCTGTAACAAAAATGGGGCTTTGGAGTTTTCTGACATGAACAGAGAGGAAGCATACCCGACCTCAGAGCGGCATTACCAGAACAAAGCAGGACACATCAGAATCAGGAAATCTCAGCTTGCAGGACCCAGTTTCACCATGTTCCCAGCCATATCAGGCATACACTATATTGTACATTTAACAACTCAGGCCTCACCATGGAAGGGCAGAGAGCCCATAGGCTAATATTCCCTGGTGGATGTTTGCAAATCAAAGTGCTTGCATTAGCACTGCAGAGAGGAAGTTCACATGTGACTGGTTGTTTTTTTTAATATTTTGAAGATGAAAAGAGAAGAAATAAAGGGAAACTGCTGTCAGCTCTCTGGAGCGGTACAACTGTGTTTTCCCTGTAGGTCTTTAACGCCCTGCACAAATATATAGCTGCAGCAATGATGGAACGTGCAGCGCGAGACCCTGGCAGGGAAGAACACCACGGAAATTCAGAAGAAAATGGGAAAAAGAAAAAGGGAGGAGCCACAGAAGCCATTTTACTTTTCACCGATTTTACCGAATGCTAAGTACGCAGCCAAGAACTTAATTCATACACAGCAGCTGGGATCCCTGCCCCCATCAGGAAAATACCGTACACTCCAGAACAATGGTTTACACAACGGCATTTATTGTAAGATGGACTTCATGGGCATACTGGAAAAGCACTAGCCTTTGCAAGGAAGGAAATAAGGGCTTCAATGCTATTTCTTATTTCATCTGTTAGAAAAACGAAGGGACCCAATAGTTGCTGGATGGTTTATTCCTGGTGGCACTTTCCCCTTTGACGACCCAAGGGTGAGGGGAAACGTGCTATATAGTAAACACCTTTCCTGAAATCTTAAGATGCATACAGCAGCGGCAGGAACTAACGAACACTAATGACAGAGTGAAAGCGAGTCCTGGACTATAAAATGAGCTTAAAGCCCGAACTCTACAGAGGCACTTCATTTTGGAGTATACTATACATACTAATATACATATACACTATGTAGGCCAGGGGCGGGCAGTTATATTGGGCGGAGGGCTACTTACTGAGTTTTGGCAAGCCATTGAGGGCCACATGACAGGCAGCCAGGGGCAGATAAATATTAAGTTTCTAATTTTTTTAGGGGCCCTGTGGGCTGGATAGAATGGCCTGGTGGGCCACATCTGGCCCACCCCTGCTGTAGGCAATATACCATAGACCAAAATCTGTATCTAAGTTAATACATCGCACACTTCAGGGAAACAATTCTAAAGTCGTGCCACAAATGGCAGAAGATGCTGATGGGAGCTTTATAAAGAACCATTTCCTCTTTTCTACTACAGAAGAACTATCTTCCGTGCACAAAAAAAGAAATAGGAGTCACGGGATATGGAATACGTGGAAAGGGACACCTAACAGATGGAGCAGAGGCAAAGAGCGAGGGGGTATTCTTGGCCCTGCAGATGGGGCATGGGCAGCTGGTAGGGTAACGTGTCTATTGTGCGCTACCATTCACAGTCCAAGAGAGCTGGCCAGAAAATGGAAATCCCTCTTGGCCAGAAAATTTGGGTTTTTGTCCCTGATCAAGGCAGAGTCAGGAACGTGGCATTTTTTGCCAGAAGGGAATACTGTAGTTTGTGGCCTAGCCACATTCTCCGTCTGCAGAAAATGGAGCAGACAGGAGGCCTTCAGCCTGGCTGCAGGAGGAGCAGGGAGCCAGAGCACAGCCTCAGAGGTAGGCCGGTTGGCGCAGTAGCTTGCTGCCCCTTGCAGCTGGACTGGTGGGAAGCAGGCAGGCCAAGCTCCCTGCATATCCACCGCACCAGCGGCTGCAGCTTTAGGGGAGGCAGGCAGAAAGCAATGGTGGCTACAGAAACCGGCATGGTTTCACCCCGCTTGCCTGATGGGCTGCTGGGGTCGGTGGACCTGTGACCTTTTCCTGTACACTACACGCAGTGACTGAGAAGTCCTGCCTTTTCTATGGAATGAGATGGGGAGGATCTGCCAGTTCCACAGAGCTGTGGGATTGCCCATCATTTCCACTTTGGAGATGCGCCTCTCCAAACCCAGTGACTCTAGGCTGGAGGATGAGATGCCCAGTATTCAGGAGCTCCCATCTCACAGTCAAAGGCTGCAGTAGGAGCTAAGGAATTTCAGGTTGGGATAAGGGAGGAAGAAACACTGTGGGATTTAGCCTTCTTTTGTCCAGTTTTCCTGCCCTTCCACAGATAAGCTGGGAGCTTTCTTCTATGCCCCTTTCATTGGTATCTAGGGAATAATGGGTTCACAGGACTGCCTTTGGCCTCTTGGGTGAGGGAGCCTGAATGTGAGTATAACTAGAATCAGACTGGAGTGCGTTAGCTGAGTCAAGTCTTTCCCCCTTGTGCCAGTGGTGCACCCAGTACCCAGCGGTGTAGTGGGACAGTCAGTAATGAAGGAGAGTTTGCTTGACCAGAGCACTGATCGCTAAGAATGAACCTTCAGAGCAGAAGGGCTCTCAGGAGGGAACTGGCCAGTAATAGAAAAGAGAGCTCCAGGATGTTGCTGGCAGATGAAGTCTTGGGGTGGTGCCCATCTGGTGATATTTCTTCCATCTCCTTGGCACCTGTGGGGAGAAGGAAAGGAGCCTCGAGTGAAGGCTGAAGCCCACAGCTAATAATCAACCCCAGTGCATGCAGCACCCTCTGCAACGTGCTACCACACGGACAAGGGCAATCCACGGTGCAGGACAGCAGCACGCAGCTCCTTCGGAAAGCAAGACACAGGTTGTGACCGTTTGTGCATCACTGGGGAGCAGGCAGGATCATGCTTCACAGCTTAGGCAGTGCCAACCATCCTTGCCAACGTTGGGTGGTGCTGTGCAGGGGAAGGGGTGGGGAACAGGGTCCGTGCTGCGTGAGTAGGAGGAGTTGGAAGGCCAGTCCAGTACCGGTCCCTAGCAAGCGCATTCTGCGTTACTCAGGAGGTGTCTAATGTCTTTACGCTCAAGATGGGACAGGCACAGACAGGCTCCACAGCTTCCTTACCTGACAAGGACTGGAAAGTGAGGTCTTTGGAAGATGACACTAAACGCAGGAGGGTAGGCGCCTTAGGGTTGGAGGGCACTGGCTTTACAGTAGTTAGAATCTGCTTGGCCTCTTCCAAGCTTAGATCAGCTTCTGAAGAAATTAGCTCAAGGGATGGAGGTGGCTCTGAGGGGAAAGCCTGTTCAGCTCTCAAAGAGACCTCCTTCCTCTCCCCATTTACCTCTGGAGTGGCATTAGGGCCGAAGGTCGGGTCCAGATCTAAAGGCAGAGCCTCTGTTGCCTCTTCAGAGTCTACCTGCATTTCTGGAGAGGTCTCAACGTCCAGGTCTAAAGTGGGCTCTATGGAGGCTGTTGGCTCAGCTTCTGTAGTGGGATTGGGCCTTGCCATTGTGGTGGGTGTTGACCTTATAGTTGTGGGGGGTGTTGGACTGGTTTTGGTGGTCATGGTGGGTGCTGGTTTTGTGATAGTGGTGGGTTTGGAGGTTGTGGTGGGTGTTGGGGCAGTAGTAGATGCTGGCATTGGGACAGAGGTGGGTGTTGGGCTTGTTGTGGTCGGTGCTGGTCTGGTTCTGGTACGTGCTCGGCACGTGGTGGAGGCATGTGTTCGAATGGTAGTGGTAGGTGCTAGCTTGGCGGTAGTGGTTCGACTAGGCTTTGTTGTCATAGTGGGTATAGGAGTCTCTTCTGAGTCTACACTGGGTTCTGATGAGAGACAGAGAGGACCAGGGGTTAACATCAGAGTCAGCATAAACCCGACTGCACCCCAGCCTCTCTGAGTGGTGTGACAGTGAAGACCTTGGAAACAAGCAGCTGTTCTACAGGCCTCTCTTTTGGGATTTGCCCCTCTCCTTCTGTTTCATGGTGCAGCAGGGGAGGTAGCCACTGGGGCCCAGGGACATCCCTGATCGGTCCCAGGATACCAGTCTGACCCGAGGTGAGAAACCCCAACCCCTTTGGAATAAGACTTCCTTGGAGGAAGTTCGAGATGATTACTAACAGGGTTGGAAGCCTTTTCTATCTAAGGTACAGGAAAGTCCTCGAGTGGTGACAGAGAGACCAGGTATGACTTTGCCGGAGTACTAAGCTTACATCCCTCCATTCAGTCATCCCCCATCTGCCCCCGTTCAGTCGTGGAGCAGCTCCTCCTTCAGAAAGTAGCCCCATTGGATTCAGGAGGCCTGGTCCATGGGGGCAGCTAGGGGAGCTTGCCCATTGTTCCCAGTCCGATCCTTTCCTGGTGAGAGACCCAGATCCTCCCTCTCCCTTCACTTACCACACATCGAATTGATGCATTTATAGCCCTCGGGACACAGAGAACAGGGGGATCCTTCCCTGTATGGTTTTCGTCCCCTTATGTTACCACTAGAAGCAGAACAGGCAGATAAAAATGAGACTGAGTTTATAACAACAGAGAGGATAAAATTCCAACCCCCAGCCCACGACAGTCAGTGGATGTCTATCCATGCAAAGACCCTTAATAAGGATTAGAAATGATCAAAAATGGCAACCGTATTTACTGAACACTTCATCGTCTTATTTTGCTGGCCCAGGGATTTCTTTGCCTTGGCTTCCCCCAGTTACTGGGTAGCAAGGGCCAAGCTTGGGGGAGGATGTTTAAATAGATGCGATCAGTCAAGATACAGTCACAGCTGCTCTTGTGAGTGCTAACTCACGGGGGCTCGTAGTTGCAAACCAGCAGGTGCATGTCACGTTCCTCAATGCCCTCCACAGTCTCACAAAAGTGTGCCCCACAGCCGATACGCAAGGTGTTTGCCCAGATCACCTGAAGCAACACGGAAAAAGAGGAGGGTTAGGCCTGTTGGTGCAAGGTAGGGGGAGCACACAGGTGAATCAGAAGGAAGATGAGCCTGCCTGGGCAACCCAGATGCCCCGATCTCTGGTGCTGCTCAGACTCCACAACTGATTTCTGCAAGAGAAGACCCCGTTTGCATAATCAACTGAAGGAAAAACCCAGCTCTAAACAGGTCTGGGGACCCAGGCGCCTGTGTCCTGATGCCTGCTCCCAGGTCTGTCCCCTGACGCCTGCTCCCATCCCTAATGGTGTGGGCTCAGTTGATACCAAAGTGTTCTGAGTAACCAGAGGGCTGCATCCAAATACACTGGTTGCTTTAAAGGCTCGTCATCCCAAGGGCTCCTATCCACCAGATCTCTAATGAGAATCTGTTCACTATGCCCCATAACTATGTCATTTGTGTTTAGCATCATCCATCTCTCTTCTGTTCTACTGAGATCCGTATGCTGTGCCCGCTGCCCTGGCATCTGAGACCATTCACTAAGACTCTAGGGGGGATCGAGTCCCAGGGACAGCTCCTGCCCCAACCCCAAAAGGCCCCTCAGATGCCCTGGATCCAGGTACCTGGGTGTAGTGGCCACACATGCGCCCCATGGCACACTTGGTGGCGGTGAGGTTGTAGTACTGGTACTCGCCGTGCCAGTCCTCCATGGCCAGCTGCAGGTCCAGCTCCTCCATCATGATAAAGAGGTTCTCACCTCGCCGGCCACGGTCTTTGTTGTGGTCCCAGATGCACTTCTCTGCATAGGCCTTGGCAAAGGCACCTAGGTCTGGGTCCCAGCTCTGGAACAAGCCCAAAGTCACCATCAGGATGTTGGAAGACAGGAATAGGAGTCCTTAGATGGGATCCAGTCACTGGGAGCATGGATTGGGCCCTTGGACACACACACACACACTCTTCCACTCATTCCCATCAGTGGCACAAGTCGGGCAGGAGGGGTGGGACCGGTGGAGTCCAGTTGCAGGATTGGGGCCTTTAAAATGCTGTATGCAGGGATTTCCAAATGTGCCTAGGAGCATGCAGTGCCCGGACTCCACTGACATTCACAGGGACCAACATGAATGGGACCTGGGTAAAATCCTGATTGCCAACAGACAACAATCAAATAGCAACAGCCTGACAGGCACTTCCAGCGTTGGATCCAAAGCATTTCTGGCCAGTCAGGAGATAACCCTGTTGAACACAGGGGGAAGCTGAGGTACAGAGAAGGGAGGTAGCTTGTTGGGAAGGAGGGCAGCAGTCCCAAGACCTCCGCTTAAACTGGTAACTAGGCTGGGAGGGAGAGGACAAACCAGAGGCATGCCCAGTTTCATGGCTGTGCAAGGCCCAGCGGTGCATGGGCTGGAACGGAGATTCAGCCCGACAGCTTCCACTGAGAGCAGCATCTTGCCCAGCTGAGCTCCATCCCGCGAAGCAGGTTACTAGGAAAGAAAGGGAGATGTTTTCATGCAGGGGAGGGATGAAGGGGACCCTGCGAGGCAGCTGCTTGCTCCATTCTCACAGCATTAAAAAGAGGCAGCGGTTTCTCTGAAGTCCAACCAAGAGGCAGGGCATGGCAGGCAGGCAAAATGGACTTAGGGGTCTTGCCAGCCCGTGGCCGAGGAGCGAGCTAGAGGCTGCTGAAAGAAAAGGAAGATGGTAGTCTCCATTTAGGACCAAAAGCACTTGGTAGGGCCACGATTGGGGCCCAGTGGGGAGGGTAGTAACTAGTTGGCATGACGATGCTATAACCCAGTCCCTGTTTCCTATGCACCAGAGCCCAAGCAGAGGAGGGAGGTTTGGAGAAGAGGCACCCACTGTGCTACCAAGATCCCCATCAGATCTTCTTCAGGGCAGGTGGTGGGGTGAAAGAGGGACAGTAGACTGAGGGGACTCCTTTTTCTTTATGTAGCACAGTCAGGTCTGAGCCAGGCCTGTCAGGAGGAGAAGAGGGGGCAGGTTTAAAGCATGGGAATGATTGCTCCCCACCACGTCGGCACAGAGCCGGTCTGTGGTGCTGGCTGCAGACCCGACTTCAGGGCTGTGCTATCCCTCCCTCCCTGTTGCACGGGGCTCGGTTCCACAGGCAGAAAACTAAACTTCTGCATTAGCCGCTTCATCCAAAAATATGGTTTTGGCCTGCGCATGCCCATTGAATAGCAATTTCCATGGCAACCAGCTCTGCTGTCCCAAACAGAAGCAGAGGGTGACTTCGTGGGGGGGGGCTGGCTACAGAAGCAGGTGAACTCAGGCACAGATCTTATTTCTGCAAGGGAAAAAGAGCCGTAAGAATCCAGATGGAAGCGAGCGCCATGTAGAAACAGGGTATTTATAGGGGACTGCCAGGACTGTTTCTAGGCCAAGTGGCTTACAAACACTCCCCGTGCTACAGAAAAAAACTCAGCTACTGACCAGCAGCAGGTCACAAGGATTTTACCCTTACATTTTACAGCACAAATTGCAGGGCTGGCTTGTGCACTGCACATCCCCCAGTTACATTCAGGCCAGAAACACAACTCGGAGTAAGCCTAGAATCCAGAACAATCAGTTTTTCATCTTAACTAAAATCTCTGCCTCTGCCCTGAAAACTGGCTGGCAACTAGGTTTTTTTAAAAAAAAATAGGACTGCATTTAAAGGTCCTTGTTGTTATGCAGATGGGCATTACAAACAATAGAAAACATGCTTCATTAAGCACCTAGCAGGGAAATGATCAACATCACTATCAGTTGCTCAGGAACCTAAGGCTCATTGTTTAAGTGCCTAAGTCCCTTGTGTAAAGGAGATAGGTCAGGGGGCCTCAGCCCTCAGAGGTTTTTAGGCTCCTAACCCCTACTGAGCTCATCCCACTGAGTTAGGCGCCTGAATACGCTTGAGGATGTGGACCCCACAAGCCTACCTTTTCAAAAATGGGATGGGGGTCCTTAAATCATTTGGGGGCTTTTCAAACCTTTATCTCTGAACTAAAAGCCGTGAGAAATTAACTTGGGTTTTGTTTGCACACAAAAGTGGAGTTAACTCAGGGTAACTTGTGTGTTGGCAAGATCTAAAAGAGTCAAATTATGATAACGAACCAGCTGCAGGGGGAAAGTGTTGCAGACATCAGCAGCCAGCACCCTCCACCTTCAAAGCCTGGCGCAAGCACTAATTCACCAGTTGCCATTGTCTTAATGGAATCAAGGATTCGGACCCAAGTGGCAGCACCCTCTAGCGGTTAGAGCAGGGGCCTGCAAGACGTACTTCCCGTTCCCCGTTCAGTCACCGCCGTGACTCTTTCTGTGCACAATTTCAAGCCTGCCTTTGAGACACAAGCCCCACTCTATGGTTCCTGCTCTACGTTTCACCACAAGTGCTAGCGGGTGGTGGGGCTTGGCTCTCAGGGCCGGTCTCAGATCACAGCAGAGGTCGTAACGATTATACACCCTGTGCAACCCGGGATAAGTGACGTCTTCATGCCTCGGTTTCCCTATTGTGAAACAGGGGATGATCTTGTTGCGTTGAACCCACCCATCGGCAGTATTGTGAGAGCTGCACCTAGTATTAAGAAGAACCCACTAGAGACAAAATCAAGTAAGAAATTTGGTGCTTAGGGTTCAGTTTTATTTTTCACTCTCTGGAGAACAGAGTCTATTCACGATCGAAAGCATTTAATAGTGATGTGTGGCTGCTACCAGATCTCAGGCAGGGTTTCATCTCTCCAGCCACTGAACTGAAAGCTCAGTCGTCTGCTCCTTGCAATTTCTTTACTGAAGCAATTTCCATTAACTGTGCACCCTATGTAGCTCAGCCAGGCAGTTCTAGTGGGAAAAGAAATGCCATCATGCCCTGGACCTCTAGTTAATTCAATTACATGTGTGAACCCAAAGGCATCTTTAAAATTACATTTTCAAAAGACAAAGGAGACTCTTATTTTAAAAGGAAATTCAGGAAACACCCCCAAATCCCACTGACATCGAACACTATGGAGAAGATCCCCTTCCACCCCACTGTAATAATATACAAGATTTTGTTTCAACATAGAAGAGACCCTTCATATCCAGTTGCGAAAGGTTTCTCTTAGCACCATACAGAAGACCATCATTACCCTGGTGCAGGAAGACCCCAGGTTTCCACGGGACACTTACCAACTTCTGCATGTCTGCAGCAGGTGGGGAGACCTGAGAGCGGTAGATATTGTGCATCTGCAAAATCAGCCTCTCGTCTTCATCACTAAGGGACCCCCAGCTCAGCTCCACGGCCGTAAGCAGCAGCAGAACGCGAGGAAGGTCTGAGCTCAGCATTGTGGCAGTCAGTCTCTGGCTTTAGCAGTCCATGTCTCTGGCAGACAGATTTAAAGCACTTCCCAAAACAAGGAACACCCAAAGGCTGAGATTAGGGGGAGGAAATTTATCTCTATTAGAATACGTTTCAGAGCCACAGGGAACACACCCATTCCATGTAATGTCACTGATGGAAGGGGAATGTTGCTTCAGGGACTGATGAGTAAGCTGTGCCCAGTCCTTGAGACTGACCTTGAGAGTGAAATCCCTTTAATTTCTCCACAATCACAGGAGCTCCCTCTCTTGGTCCTGGCTGCTGGTGATTTCAGACCTGAAACATGGCTGTGATCCTACAGGAGACCCTGTGACTATTTACTTCCACGCCGCTTCCAAAAGATGCCCAAACACTTTCCAAACAAACCCCAAATGTTCACGTAGCTCATTGCACCTGCCACCAGCCCACAGCTGCAGCTAGGGAGGAACCAACGAGCCATTGAACAGCAAGCAGAAACACTGGGTTACAATTCCTAACATCAGACCTGCCAGACAGAGCCTGGTGTGGGCCGTGCTCATGATGCATGATGGGATCTGGGTGGGACATTGCAGTTGTCCCCGCTGCTCATCTTGTCTCCAGAACTCAGCACAGGCTATAAGGGAAGGGCCGTGTCTCATGCTATGCCCCGACATCACAAGTGCTCCCACAGCTAATAATAATGAGGTGTCAGCAAAGGGCTCCCCAGATCCCGTAACAGTGGAGAGCACATATTTCTGGAGAGCCTGCCAGGCGGAGAACTCCCACCCCATCTGCAATCTCTGCACATGTGATTGCGATGCATCCCCATCGCAGCCCCGTCTGCTGCCTTTGGGGAACAACAGGCTCAGGGTCAGGGTACTAACTTTTTCTCATGCTGTAAATGAATCCCAAGGTCTGCTTATATCCTGTCTGTGCTGTCCTGCCCCCTCTTGCCTCCCCAGCCCCCAGTCCACCTCTGCTTTTAATTACAAAGGTACAACAGTTAGCAAAAGACAGCAAGCAGACCCAAGTAACAAGGGATTACATGGGGGGGGCACTGGTAGGTTGCTTCAGTCATCGCCTGGTAGACACGTGTGCTTCATTGCAAGGGGGTTCTGCTCCACTCATCCCCTTGAGCCTTCACACGCATTTACACGCACTTTATTTTACCTACATTTCTCTTTTCACCATCAGGACCTGCTATATCATCCTAATTATCCAATCACTTTCTGACCGTGTTTACTTCCTGAACGATGGAGTTGTTTATCACCTTGGGAATTTTCTCTCCACTCCAACATGGTCTAAGCAGCATCTTCCTCTGGATCACAGCATTTTGGGGAGGACCATCCTTACCAGTGAAAACAGTTCTGCAGATGCACAATTGCCATTTTATGCAAGTCTAAAGAATAGCTGCTTTTTTTGCCGCGAACACCCAAGTACGACAGAGTCCTATCCATTTTGAGCACAACTATGTCTCAGACAACTCAAACATCCTCTCAGCTTTTTGTGTCCACAGGACACACTTGAGAAGACGTCTGAACTTAAACAACCCTTTTCCTCTGGGAGTTGCACACCCAAAAGGTGGTGCCTGTTTCCTCTCACCTACTGGAGGAGTCACCGCCATGGAGCTAGCTCCTCCCTTACAATAAAGGACCTGGAGACCTGTGGAAGCAGCTAGCAAAGCGGAAGAACTGGAGCCATCTCTCTGTGGACCAAGGCAGGGGCTTGGGACCACTGCAGAAGTCCCCAACCTGCAAGCAGATCTCTCTAAACCTGGTCTAGAGACAAAGGTTGGAATTAGGAAACTGGTAAGGACCATTTGCGTTCTGTGTCTATATAGCACCTAGCACAAAAAGACGATGGTCGGGGCTCCTAAGTGCTCCTGCAATACAAACAAGTCATTATAATGATGGGAATAGCACATGATGTGCTCATTAGGTAAAATATTAATTGTTGGGGAGGAAGTTGAGTGACTGGGAAAGGGAGATGGATGAACAAGTGGGAGGCACAGTACTAGTCAGGATGTCATCAAACAGATCTTGAGCCCCAAATATGCCATCCCATTGGGTCTCCCTGGCTGCAAGATCCTTTGGGATTCAGAACGAGCCTTTCTCCTGTGCACCTGTCCCCAAGCTCAACCAGTGTCCAGCCCACCTAGGCCACGGGCAGTAGGGAAAGTGTCCAAAACTGCCGAATGCTTTGGGATGGCGGGAGCCAGAAAAATGATGTCAGACAGCTTCCTGTTAACCACAAGGAAAGGATCCTAGGATGTGGCCTCATAAAGGCTGGGAGAAAAGAGGAAAAGACATCCCCATTCTTGTTAAAAAATTCAGACCCTGGAGGGTCTTTCAGCACAAAGCAGCTTGCTCCCTCCACCTGCCCAGGTTTGGAGCATGCCAGCTTGCTGCCTTGCCTCCGGGCATCTGTACATGGCCGCAGGTTTGGCAGTGCTGTGTGCATGGCTCCAACAGCAAACGTCAACCTTGTGCAGAGCTAACAGCACAAAATAGCTGGTAATAGTCAAGTGTTCAGCAAAGTCACTCACAGCTGCTGGCAACTCTGAAGCTCTTTGAAGGCAGTTTCTCAACTCCGGGCCCCCGCCCACAATTGTTTTCTTTGGAACCCGTTTCTACAGCATAAAGATATTAAAAAAAAAAAACCAGGGCCAACCCCTCCACCCATGTGCAGAGAAGCTTGTGTCCAGTCCAGCAGGCTCCGTTAGGTAACGGCATAAGGAATGTGGCTTTTGTTTGTTCAACTGCTCTGCTCCGTGGTGGCGACGTACAGCCCATCTGCGTTAACTAGGATATACAACTTGGTTATGTAACACGTTATACACTGGCACGTGGGGACATGTGTGAGCCTGACACAGCTTCAGTGCACAGGGGGAGGTGGGTGGGGGACAAAAGACACAAGAAAAACCGGGGGGGGAAGAAGAGAGAGCTGTCAGCCAAGTCTAATCTTTGCTTTATGCCATTTTCAAAATGAAATTAAAGTGCATTTTTATTTCAGAGAGGACCTCAAAGGAGGGAACAAATGGAGAAAACAATCCCCAAACAGACAACCAAATCTGCGACACGGGTTTTCTTTAATGGGGGGGGGG